GTGCTCAACATGACTACACCCAACAAATCAAGCAATAGCCAAGTTGGGAGCAGTACCAGGCGCTCAGTAGCACCCACTGCTTATGACAATTGCTGATCAGCATATTATATGTCTCACTAACTCACCGTCTCACCGACTCAACGGCACACTGACCCGTCAATGCAGTCAGCACATTTTGCAGTGTCTGCCAAGCCAACTACACAAACTGCTACCACAATCAAAACTCCCTGACCTACCTACCTACTTTAGAATATAGCTTACTTCACTAACCATTACACTAAACTTCTATGTTCCTAGTAGTATATAAACATGTACCAAATCAGTTATCAACACCACTCGTAACTCCGCGGCTCTACTTTCCACCTCCGGGAATAGGGCTCGTAATACACCATCTCAACTAGCAGCTAACCACGTTAGTTCAACCTCAGCGCAGTTCCGCATCGCCTGTGGTCCGGCATCGCAGTAACCATCGTTACCATTGCCGCGACGCGATCGCCCTGCCAGCAAAGCGTCCCCGTGCCAGCGACAAGTGCTCATTACCCCCTTGTCACGCGGTGTGACCCGGAAGTGTCTACTTCGGTTTGGCACAAACAGTGCCAATGTAACGTTCTCCAACCGCCGAAGTAGTTGCCCTGGAGTCAGCCTCAACGAAAGTCCAATCAGAGCCCTTCCTCCATACAAGTACCTCGGTGTCACTTTGGACAAAAAACTCACTTTTGGCAGGCACATTACTTGTATCCAACACTCCTTCAGGACCAAAGTTGCTCGAATGGCTTGGCTTCTCGCACCACGCAACAAGCTCGCACTTGGCTGTAAGGTTCAAGTCTATAAGTTCATACTAGCGCCCAGTCTTCGCTCTTCATCGCTGCAAAAACCAACCTCAACAAAATCCGGGCTTTGCAAGCGAAAACACTTCGAAGGATCTCTGGAGCTTCGTGGTTTATGAGAACCAGAGACATCGAACGGGATCTCAATGTGCCCAAACTTGAAGACAAGCTGCAGGAACTTTCTCGAAAATATATGGAAATGCTAAATGAGCACCCCAACAGCCTAACCAGAAAACTTGGTACCGCTGCTATAAACAGCGCTGAAACAAGCAACCGAGTCAAAAGAAGACTAAAAAGACACCACCCTCACGACCTACCGGATCGGATTTTGAGCTAGCAACATCACCACCCTCAATATTAATATCAAAAAAATAAAAAGAACGAAATTATTTCTTGCCTTAAGCAACCCTTAGACTAAGTATTGTACTATTTTTTAAAAACTGATTAGATTAAGTGAATAAAAAAAAAAAAAAGATGAAATGTTCCTACTGCAGCAAAGAATTCCGATCTGATAATATTCCCAAGAGGCACTCCGGAGATCTGGTCCGCTACGAACCTTTTTTTTTTAGACATGAAGTGCGTGCGACTACACAAGAGGCGCATTCATGGTAACCGACAAGCATCGATCGAAGAGAAGTAAATGCCGGTTCAACCAAAAGTGCAACTCACCACGGGCAGAAAAGCCCTGCTGCAAACGGGCCATTGTACTTGGGGTTAAGAACAACGAACGGCATAAGCAAGAGGGAGCTGAGAGAATAAAATGGAAAAGACAAATCAGACAGAAGCTGTGCGGTCAGATCGAAAGTTGCAAAATCACCATGAGCCAGGGAAGGGGGCGTCTCGATAAGCGATCGATTGGCTCTGGACACGCAAACTGGAAATATCGGCAAAAGGTGTAAATATCGCAGCGAGCAGGTGGCAACGGTTCACCGTCGGTATCGATAGTCGATGAATCATCGATCACGCACGGTTAATGTCACCAAACGGAGGAACCATGAAAAGGAGTGGGACGCCGCAATGAGCTGGGGATCGATAGCCGATGAGCACCGATGTCCCAGTGGAGACATGTAAAATATCGGCGTGGGAGATTTGAAGTTGAAACGAGGAGGATGATCACAGCTGTAGAAACTCAATTGAGTTAAAAGCGTCGAGGGAGCGAAGAGGGAGCTCCGCGGGAGTCGGCAGAAATTCGCGTAGTAAGGGAGCGGAGAGGAGCGGTTGGAGAAGAAGAGAGTTTGGAGACCAATGTGGGAGAACAAGAGAGTTTGGAGACCAAAGCTGGATAACAAGAAAGTTCGAAGACCAAGGATGAAGAAAAACAGAGTTTAGAGACCAAGGATGGAGTATGAGAGAGTTTGGAGATCAAGGAGCGGATAATGAAAGAGTGGAGACTTTGCGGGCAGTGCAAGAGTACCGTGTGCAAAAGGGGATAACGGAACTCCATCGGACTTTGGACTCTGCCGTGCCGGGAGAAGAAGTGCCACCAGCGGGACGGCAGCAGTGGGGAGAACATCGGTTGAAAGCTGTGCCTAAGGGACAAGTGGGTCAAATGGGAGTCACGGGCTTCGGACCCGGAGTGGAGAGCGAAAGAGGCCTTCGACGAGGAATCGTGAGCTCGGGTAGGAAAGTTGTCTAGGACCCAGCGTACCTTGCCCGACCAAGCAGGACCTGGCGTGAAGGATGAGCGGTGGTTTCAAGAGGCGTTGGCCTGGAGAGCCCTGCGATTACCGGCGAAGTTTCCGAACAGAAACTGCCTAAAACCCCGAGTGCCAGAAACGCCAAGCTAATAGTCAGGAAGGGCGAGCAATCGACCCGTTGAGGCATTCAAGAGGCGTTGTCCTGGAGAAGCCCAGCGGCAAGACAGGAAACAGCGCAGAGGACATCGGCAGCGACGCCAGCAGACATCACCGGCAGCCACGTTCCCATGAGCGCAGGAGTGTCGCGGACGTCAAGCATTAGGGTGAAGACGGGTGGAACGTTCGTCTGCGCTATTCGTAAAGCAAAGTGAACTGCTAGGCAGCTTCCTGGTGTTAGCCTTGACTGTCAGCGCGGTCAGAGAAAGAACCTAGCGGGTCCTTCCGGGACAGAGCAAGGGACAGGTATTGCCTCGAAAGGCGTTGGCCTGGAGAGCAAGGCTTGTTCACCCTAGTCTGAGAACGGTGACGCTTCCCTAAGCCTGCGAGGCCGAACTCTCTGCGAGTCCAAAGCGCAACAAGCGACCCCGAAGCCGCGCGTCGGCAAGCGCGCAGAGGCGGCCACTATAAGCATCCGAGACATCCCGAGAAGTCAACGCGTCGACAGGCCAGGACGAGGAACATCAGCAGTCTGTGGAACCAGAGCGAGAAATACCGGGGCTAGCCCAGCCACACACCCGCTGTATTAATAACACGAGAATAAAACCTACTGTTACCATTCGAACCCTGTGTTTTCTTCCTGATCTACGGGGCAGTCACGTCATATAAATTTGGTGGGACGAACACACAATCTTATGAGCTAGCCGCACGAATCTCTTAGCAAGCAGACCAACAAAATCAGTTCCTTAGAGCATATAAGTTCAACTTTAAGTTCAACTTTCCAATTTTACACTTGTGACTAGCGCCTTAATTTATAAGTATGCTTTATGCGTGTAGCGCTGGGATAAAAACAATCAAATAAATAGGCGAAAAGGGAATTGCGTAATATGAAAATTTTCAGCTCCTCTTGATTGTTTTTAGTCTGTCTTTCTCGTAATTACTTTAGTGATCTAATTTCTAAGTTTATTCGTCTAGTTTCTTTATTAAACTGCGATCAATGGATTTTTAGCACAAAAACTTGATGGTCGCATTCAATTGGCACGTTTGTGGATTGTTTCGGGATGAGCCCCAAAAATTGTAGAGAAAGGCTTCCGTTAGTTAATAGTTTAAATAATAACTCACCAGTATATTCTCTGATACATTTACACAGCTTTTCACCTTATTGTGTAATTTAGTTATATTGTTAAGTTCGCACAGATTTTTTCACTTAAGACACACACGACCTTCCTCTGCTGAAACTCTATCTCTACTCCTTATTCTAGCATTTTCTTGCTTCAACATTTGGCCATGCTTATAAAATATGGAATTTAACAGAACATCTGATCTGTCGAAAATGAGCTGTTAATCCTACATGTAAACAAATATATGTGTGTGAAAAATAATGAGACTTTTGGCTTTTTTTTCCACAAACAATGCACCAACTTATCGTTTATTATTATTATTATTAAGGCATGAAAGGTTAGCGTAATTTTGGGTACTGAGAACTCAAATTAGTCGTCAAATAAAGGACAAACTTTTGGTTTAAATAAATTTCTTAAACATGTTTATTTTGGGTACACTTTTGTAGGGTTGCCACCTTTTAAAAAATATGAAAACATAAGGGTGTTTTGACGGCAGCCGAACTGTGGAATGCAGTAGCAATATAATGAAGTATGCATATACGTGTAGCGAGTACCCACTGTACTAATGTCAACATTGTGTTACAATGCACTTGCGTAAACATAAGACCCGGTCGTTAAATTGAAGTGCCGGTCCGAAATACGATCACCCAAAATGCGCCTCAGAGTCCAACATATGAAAGTGCAAGTGTCAGTATATTCTTATGGCCTGACCCCACAAACAGCCGATTCATGCATGTACGACTCTTGCGCTCTAGCTGTTACCAGCCTTATGTATGAGCATAGATCCCTAAGATTCCTAAGTACATTGCCGCTGCCAGACCGCTGCCGGCGTAAGCGGGTAACGCAGCCGCGAGCCAATTTCATCGTACTAGTAAATCTCCTATAGCTGTTATGGTCCTGTCACGTTCGGATAATTAATGTGAAAACAATAGGACAATAATTATAGATTCGTTGTTCTTGCTCATATTCTTTTCCACTTCTGTATTTAGCATTTTCCATTATTTCAAAAATTCGAATTAAGTTTGATAAAAACCGAAGTACTGTATAATATAACTGCCTTAAGAAGGATGGCAGAGTTAATTTAAAAATAATATAAAAACTGATATATATCGTTTTCTGCAACATTAATACGCTAGTAAATTAAAATGTAAAATTATCTCAATATATATGTGATTTTGTTTTAATTTTTTAAAATCCGATTGCTTCGTATATACATTGCTACCATATTAATAAACATTGTCTCTCTTTTATTTCGACAGCATGTCAGGAACTGTATTACGGCTACCGTGCCAAGTTTCTGACTATTGTGTACTGGATAGCAGCAACATATGTTTTAGCTGATGTATATTCGGCTCAATTGACCAGCCAGTTTGCACGACCCGCCCGTGAGCCACCCATCAACACGCTACAGCACCTGCAGGCAGCCATGATCCACGACGGTTATCAGCTGTATGTGGAAAGGGAAAGCAGCTCCTTGGATATGCTGGAGAATGGGACTGAACTCTTTCAACAGCTAAACGTCCTGATGCGGCAGCAGCAACCCGGTGGCCTTCAGACATTTTTTATTGACTCGGTGGAAGCTGGCATCCAAATGATCGCCGGTGGCAGCGACTCCAAAGTAGTTCTGGGTGGACGTGAAACTCTTTTTTTTAACATTCAGCAATATGGAGCATATAACTTTCAGCTCAGTCAAAAACTCTACACTCGGTACTCGGCGGTGGCCGTACAAATTGGTTGCCCTTTCCTTGACAGTCTGAACAATGTGTAAGTCTATAACAAACTAACAGAAAAGAAATGTGAGAAAAAGAACCTTTACCCTAGCTTACAGCCAGCAAATTTAAGTTTTTAAGTTTTTTTTTTTTCTAGACCAATTTAGGCTCCCTGTAATCCAATTATTCAACCGTTTTGCAATTAACGATATCTACAAGTATATGTACCTTTACGAGGACATATTATTTTTTGTGATCGGACTTCAATTACACCACTTTACAAAAAAAAAATCGATAAAATACACCTTCAAGGAAACCTTTGTTTTCCGGTAAGGTACATCTTCCTGATTAAGAAGAGGGCACTTAAAATTTTAATGCATAACGTCAGTTTCCCTGCTATTTCCTTGCTAAAAATATATGAAAATGGTTATGCATAACTACTATTACCTGTAAAATGAGTCTTTGATGACCGAATTCGGTTTATCAGAACTCGAGTTAGAAAATAAAAAAGTACGAAAAACTTTGTTTACACTTTAAAAAAATTGGTACCATAGAAAAAATGTAAGGTGCCCTTTTCGTAATCAGGGAGACGTACCTTACCGGAAAACAAAGGTTTCCTTGAAGGCGTATTTCATAAATTTATTTTTTATAAACTGGTGTTATAGGAGTTATTTGCCAAAATAAATTTAAATTTTCCATCCTATTTGGTAAAAGATAGTTATACCCGTTACTCGTGAGGTAAAAGAGTATATTGTGTTTGGGAAAAGTATTTAACAAATAGAACGAAGGCCCACCCACCTCATAAATTATATAAATTCTGGATCAGCATCACTAGCCGAATAAATTATATAAATTCTGGATCAGCGTCACTATCCGAGTCGGTCTAGCCATGTCCTTCTGTCCACGTGAACGCTGTGCTTTTGGAAACTATAAGAGCTGTGACTTGAGATTTCAGATTTAGAGTCCTTATTTTTGTACGCAGCGCAAGTTTGTTTCACGAACATGCCATGCCCACTCTGACACCCACAAATTGTAACTGAAATGTATTGTTCTCGTCAATACCTATCGATTGACTTATAAGATACACCATAAGCCGACCACAAACTGAAAAAAATCTTACATATGACCGCTGGTATTTTGGAAACTATTAAAGCTAGAGAGTCGGCATTTTAGATTAAGATTCCTTAGCTTCGTACGCAGAGCAAGATTTTCACCCAAATAGGCCACGCCCACTCTAACGTCCACGAACCTCAAGAAACTGTGGCTTAGTGCTAAAAAAAATTTAAACTGGTATATATTGGTTTCATCAACACATATCGTTTGCTCTAAAAAACAAAAATGTTGTGGAGCCAGCACAACTTAAACAATATAAAATAATTGACATCAACATCAAAGCAATCCATTTTTAAGGAAAAAAGCAGAATTTTAAAATATATGTGACTATACCCGCTACTCGTAGAATAAAAGGGTATATTTAATTCGACGAAAAGTGTGCAACATTTAGAAGGAAGCGTTTCCGACTCCATAAAGTATATATATTCTTGATCAGCATGACTAGCCGAGTCGATACAGCCATGTTAGTCTGTCCTACTCTAACGCCTAGAAAAAAATTTTAACTGAAATGCATAAGTCTCGTCAATACCTCTGGATTGACCCAACAAAAGTTTGCCACGCCCACACTAAACCCACAAACCGCCCAAAGCAACAGAGCACACAATATTAATAAAAAAACAAATTTTTTAGCTTGACATTTAAATCTTAAAAAAACTTATTCTTTGCGTTTCAAATCTTTAAAAAAATAAATATAAACTAACTAACAGTCATATTGACTGACTGTGGACTAAATCCCTTTGATAATTATTCCTGGGATGGTAGATCGTTTCGAAGTAGACAGGTTCTGTTCGGGACCCGTATTAGATTTCCTGCGAGATTATTTGGGTGCAGTGTAAGCTTCTTATGGTAAGCGGACTTCTGTTTTGATATTTTATCTTTAACCGGCGGTATGCCAAGATCCCCGTGGATGATATCGTATCGCACGTACCAGGGTGCCCCTGTGATTGCTCGCAATATTTTTGGTTGTACAATATCAATGTTGCTGTTGCCTGCATTCCCCCAAAGCTGAGAGCCGTAAGTCCAAGTGGGCTTACGAGTTGAATTGTAGAACAGAACCTTGAGGTCCAGACACAGGGGTGATAATTTTCTAGCACTAATAAGTAACGACGTAACGACTTCGCTGTGGCCAGGGTTCGAGACAGAAACTTATTTCCTCTATAGATCGGCTTACCTCCCTTTTCCCAAAAATGACACAGAGAGATCGCTATGAAGTATGCTTATATTTACTATGATCGGTGTTGGGACACCCACGGTCCCAGAGGGTTTCCACTTATTTCAAGCTCTGGTTCACAGCATACAGATAGCTGAAATCTTTATTCAAATTCAAATGAGTTCACAATTAATCAAATTATTAACATTTTTCCTTACACTTGTGGTTTGCCGCTCTTCAACTTCTCATAGCATCATTTTCTTCTTCTTCTTACATTCCTAAGTTTTCCAATACTAACAATATAGAGATGACACTGGCTAGCAGTGTTGAACAACTTAACAGTATTTTTAAACTAACAGACTTTAAATTCAAATAAATCGACTTTTGAAATTGGACAGTTAGCGTGCGGCTAAAACTTCTTATTAGCCTCGCAACATTCCCCACCTCGTGATTCTTCTGCGTTACTACGCTGAGTATCACCAATCCTTATGATGTCCAATTTAGCCAGTTTAACTGCCGGGCGAGTAACGAGTCCTCCCGGTGTACGCACAACACCGCTACGAACTTGTCCATCCTTCGCCAGATGAACATCCACGACGATCCCTTTAGGCCAGGAGTTTCGCTTGCTTGTTTCATCAACAATAAGAACCACGTCATTCACGGAAATTGGAGCTGGGTTTGGCTGAAACCATTTTGTACGCCTCGTCAGGGTGGGTAGATACTCTCGAATCCATCTTCTCCAGAAACGGTCTGCTAGTTGTCCAGCGATGCGGAAATGTTTGGCCAAGCCTAATCCGTTGGATTCAATCGCACCGCGTTCCCGTAGACCACTGGAGTTACCAACCAAGAAGTGGTTTGGTGTAAGGGCTTCCGAATTTTCCGATTCCAACGGAATATAGGTCAACGGTCTTGAGTTTAAAGTGCATTCGACATCGGCCAACGCAGCGCGCAATACTTCCTCGCGCAGTCCGACGTTAGACAGAATTTCCGTCAGGATTGACTTTGTAGAGCGCACCATACGCTCCCAGCTGCCGCCCATATGAGGCGATCCCGGAGGAATAAAGGTAAACGACATCTCCGGATACTTGTTTTCCACTGCTGACGTTGATATACGTTCGATCTCTTGCGCGAGTACTCTGCTGGCTCCCCGAAAATTTGTTCCGTTATCGGATAGCAACTTAAGAGGCACACCTCTGTGCGCAGTAAATAGTTTTAGAGCCAGTAAAAATGAATCCGTTGAAAGAGATGGCACCAATTCTAAATGAACAGCGCGAACTGTTAGACAAGTAAATAAAACTCCCCATCTCTTCTCGCGACGCCTTCCTACAGCAACTTCAATCGGTCCAAAGTAGTCTACTCCAGTAAACGTAAATGGCAGTGTATGTGGCGATAGACGTTCCTTTGGTAAAGTTCCCATCATCGGTGGAATGGGTTGCGCTCGCCTGATGCAGCACACTGGACACTTATTGATGATTTCCATTACAAGGGCTCGCAGGCCCGGTATCCAATACTTTTGTCGTATTTCGTTGACAACTATTTCTGCATGCAGATGGTGGTACTTCCGGTGGTGATACTCTACTATAAGGTATGCAATTCTATGGTGACGCGAAAGTATAACAGGACGCTTAACGCTGACTTCAACATTTTCGATAGCATCGATTCGACCTTGCATTCGAAGCACTCCGACGGGGTCCAAGTACGGCGAGCATTTATATATTGTGCTTTTCCGGTTTGTCAGGCAACGATTTTCCTTTAGGCATCGAATTTCATCAAAAAACTCCTCTTCTTGACATGCCCGTATGAAAATTGTGTCCATTTCAACATCGCGCTTAAGCAAAAGCAATCTCTCCAGCTCAGGTCCGTGCGGTTTCACGGAAAGAAGGCGTAGAAAGTCTAAAACTCTTTTTTGCGCAGCGCGCAGACGCTCCAGTTTGCTGAAACGTAGTGGATCCGGCATAACACATGCTAAAGACGAAATTTGTTTCTTAATTTCCTCCTTGTGGTGCAATACTTGAGATTCTCTGGTTTTAGACATTTCATTTCCGAGTGGCCACTTCGACTCATCCTGCAAAAGATAATTCGGTCCGGAGAACCATCGTATTGAACTATTTACCTCAACACCTTTTGTCCATTTAGTCCCATCGTCCGCTACATTTAGTTCCGAGGATACCCAGCGCCATTCACCAACTTCGGAGCCTTCAAGAATTTCTCCAACTCGTAAAGCTACAAATTGCGGGTACTTACGAGCGTCGGATCTTATCCAGAACAGAACATCTTGAGCATCAGTCCAGAACACACGTTTTTCAATTTCGTTTGATAGCTCAGACTCCAAACACTTGGCCAGGCGCAATCCCAAAACCGCTGCCATTAATTCCATTCGTGGTACCGATATAGGTTTCAAAGGTGCTACTCTGGTTTTCGATGCTAGCAAGGAGCATCGGATTTCGTCTCCAAGATCAACTCGCAAATATGCTACCGCAGCGTAGGCATCCAAACTAGCATCAACGAACATATGTAGTTGCAGGCTCTTAACATTACTCGAGCATGACATGTAGCGAGGGATACGCAGATGGCTCAGTTTTGGCAGTAAGGCTTGCCATTTCATCCAGTCAATCTCATCCGGTTCCTTGATTGCGTCGTCCCAGCTTACACCAGACCTCCAAATATTTTGTAGAATAATTTTGGCACGCACGTTAAAAAATCCAAGAAGCCCGAGTGGATCGAAAATGGACATAACGATACTCAACACTCGTCGCTTCGTATGAGAGCCAGCTGACGACCTCTGCAGCAATTCAGGCTTGATGACAAACGTTAGCATATCCGACTCGGGCAGCCACCACATTCCTAACACTTTCT